TGATTTCCCACAAACTGGAAGATATGCAAGTGAAAAGCAACAAGTTGGCAGAAGAAGCATCCAGTGAAGATAGGACATCAGGTGAACATAGAGAAAACAGAGGTGATGAAGATTCCTGGCCAACAGTCACAGAAACAACAACAGACAACAATCAGCATAAATGGGAGGAACCTGAGAGAAACAACCTCCTTCACCTACCTGTCTGGGAAGCATCATTTCAACTACAGGCGGACTGAGCTGATGAGGATATCAAAGCGAGCATCGGGAAAGTAGGGCAAACTTTCGTTACTCTCAAGTCTGTGTGAAGGTCAAGAGGACTGACTCAGGATGAAAAATAAGATCTGGATTTTCAACTCCAATGTAAAGTCAGTGCTACTATACGGATCGGAGACCTGGCACTGTGTCACGAAGAGTACTTCGAACAAACTACAGACTTCCATCAACAGCTGTCTTCGCTCAATACTACTCAAGATCAGATGGCCGGCCAGAAAAGATCAGCAACAGGGAGGGATCTTTGGCAATGAACGAACCAACCTAGCAGGAACCATTTGTGCAACAAATCTGCAGGAAGAAATGGAGGTGGATTGGCTTGGCCATACTCTGAGGAAACCACCAAGTGACATCCCTAGACAAGCTCTCGAGTGGAACCCGAATGGGAAGCGGCGAGTTGGTAGTCAGGGCGAGGCTACGGTGACATGGAGGAGGTCATGTGAAGAGGAGATGAAAGCATGTGGGTAGAGGTGGAGTGTGATGAAAAGGTTGTTCAGAGCCGAACGCGATGAAGACGTGTAGTTGAAGCCCTATGTTCCTCTTGGAATTAAAGAAAACAATAATAATAACACTTCTTCACATGTTTTTGTTAGTCGTGACTCTGTGCGTTGTCCTCTGGAACCTCCCTACGATGGACCATAAAATTTCATCAAACTTATGGATACACTTTTGTCCTAGACAAAAAAGGACATGAAGACTTCGTTAGCATCGACCATCTGAAAACAGCTAACTTAAAGGGTAATCTCATGAGCCTCGAACTAAGCATTCTTAATAATACACAAGTAACCGAATATCCGTTAGTCCTCGAAGAAATTACTAGCACGGCAAGAGCACCTGAACCTTCTGTCGAAATCTCAAAGAAAACGCTTTCTGGACTAACCATGGGATTCCCAGAACATCTTCACACTTATCTCACATAAAATGATGCGACTCACCCAGTTTATCACTCTCGTGGTAAATTTTTACTCAGGCACATAAAAAGAAATTCTTGCTTATGTTGCGGGATGCAATGAAAAAAATATTTTATGACCACACATGTTACATCCACTAAAAAATTGTGTTTTTTTCGATATTCTAATTTTAGCATTATTTTTCTGTATGGTAGATGCATTTCATTTTTCAAACGTTATTTTTAGTACATTTTCCCTGACAAGGTTCTTAGCATCCTTGTTTTCCTTTCCAGGTGGGACGGGCACTGAACAGGAATCACATGAAGCATGAGATCCAACGGACAAACATAAACGAAGCGATGTACAGACACCCTATTAGCATACGTAGACGACCAGTAGGCACTGCGTCAAGCCGATCGGAAGAGTTTTCTACAAATAGGAAAACCACTGGGTTTTTTAATTCCGGCTGGTTTTGTCTTAGGATCCTCACAACTCCACTAGGTGGGGAGTGAGCTATAGTGGTAGGTAATTCCCCAGAATTATTGGCTATAGCATTCATCGCTGAACATTGGATGCTGATCATCACTGTTTAGGTCGATTTGTTTAGCTGAAGGCTCATGGTCAAGCATCCACGTCACTTGGCACGCCGTTGTGTTACGTTCAGTAGTTTGTGTACAATCCCTAGCCAGTGAAGCAATCATCTCGCACTCCGATTTGGTCCCAAAATATAAATCGTGATTTGGGCGATCAATTCTGTTGGTTTGCTTTACCTTTGGTTTATGCGGAACAAATACTGTAGAAGTTGTGGGTATTAGATCTAGCGTTAGTATATTTCGTACTATCTGTTAACGCCAACACCTTCAGTCTCTAAAAGCCAGTTATAGTGGGTTACAGAGAAGAGAATGAAATCGAGTCCTACTTTTCACTCACAACTTAAGGGAAGACACATTCATTGGCTGACTGGCTTCCCTAAGGCTTTCACCAGCCAGCTGTGTCATTTCACTTCACTCATTACAGATAAAAATGATTTTGTTCCTTGCATTTTAATATTTTCCTTGTGCTTTGAAGTTTCTGCAGAAATTTGATTGACTATCCGGAGTAGGATAGCTAGCCATATGCTCACCATCCCTCTTTTACCGGGCTTGCGACTGGCTGGGAAACTAGTGAGCTAGTAAACTAGGCAAGGTTAATAAATATGGGAAGCTCCAATATTTCGCGTGTCATCCCTGCTCTGGGGCCATGCAAATCTTCTCTGCATTGTCGCAATTTTACAATATGTACCACTGGAGCAAGTACTGTGTAGGGTACTGGCAGTGCTGTTGATCAGCTACACTTTACCAGCCCTTACTTAACGCAATTTACCAATGTACACAATAATTCAGTACTCTGCCTAACCTGTGAGTACTGACGACAAAACGCAAGTTAAAGAGACTTAGTTAATAGGGAAATGTGCTCTGGTACGCCGTATATTTGAGCGAAATAAGAGGTGAAGATTATCCAATGAAAAAGGTCTAGAACTTATCTAACGAACATGGTTATATTACAAACTCAAACAATGTGCGTGTTAACAGCACAACAGGAAAGCGACAAATAGTGTGGCAACCAGTTCGCATATGTACACATTAAAACAAAGTCTTTAAACATTGGAGTTTGCACTACAACTATTTCATCATGACTGCTACTTATTTCTTGATAGACGTTTTACCTTATTGATTTCATTATCCTTCACATGTTGTAGTAGAAATAGGTATACCATGTAAGTGTTGAGTAATTTTTTCATGGGAACCTAAAGCACTTATAAAAGTACAAGAATAGTAGCTTTATTTCTCTCATCATTATAAGTAGAAGAATTTTGTATCACCTAAACACTTCAGTGTTTTATATACATGTATATTTCTGTGTTCTCTGATTTGTATAGTTTAAGACAACGAACTTTTAGAGTGTAAGACATACAATTTTGAGAGAGTGTTGATGAAGTTTAAATATTCCTACCTCAACAGTGAGTAAATTCACATGGTACGTTACTTCTGAGTAGCTGATAACGTATTATGATACGAATTCTCAAAGTGAGAAGACTTGAGAGATATTTTATTGAACAGACACAAAGATTTCATTCTCGTAATTAAAATTAATGTTTGTATGTACATTTATGACTCCAGTTTTGTTTTGTATGATACAACGTTACGCTTAGCTTATCTTTTGCCGCCCCATGGAAAACAATCACATGGTGAAACAAAGAAAAAAAGCATGATAGTTACGCTAAATATAATACTTAATATTCTGTTCTTAGCACGCTAGACAACTGTTTTTATAGGAAATCAATACGTGTATATTTCACTAGAGTTTTGTTGCTGTTATCTCAGTAAGGTAGTATTCTTTCGCTACCATAAACTAATAGATTACAGATTCATCGTGACTGTCGTTGCTATTCATTGATTTGTAGAAAAGAAGGTTGATTTGCTTCCTTGATCAACAAGTAATTTGCATGAAAAGGTGATAAATGTTACAAGCGATTGTTTAGGAAAGAGTAACTCCAACGTAACTTCAGTGTCTTCATCTAATAGAGGATAATTTCACCACAAATGACTGCGTGCTTTAACCAAAACTGAATTCATCGGTTAATTTACCTGTGTGTTCTACTCACTTACAAGTCAAATTTGATTTCTGACTAAAATGTCTCCTTATGACACCTACAGAAGCAGAACAGTGACTAGTGAGTACATCGTTCACACAGTGTGTCTTTTGAATGAACATTTCAAGAACACAGTTGTTCAGTATTCAGAATTTAAGCGAGCAAAATATCAACCAATATTACATCAGTGAGATAGAGTAGATTTCTTTAGACACTATTCAAAATAATTATTTACAGTCCGGATTGATTTAAAAATGATCTTGAAAGTATTCAACAGGACTTCAATGAAGCATTCCTTCAGATGAATTGTACCTCCATTGGGAGACAGGTCGGAATATTCTCTTTTATGTAAGTTTAAGAAAACAGATATATTTCAGGTTGGATCACCAGCTGACATCAGTCAGTGACTCATCGAAAACCATGAAGAGCTGGAGATTTGTTTCCACCTAGTTTTGGATTCTTCAGAAATACTCATCTATGACCCCATCGATGATCGAATCCACTACCTTCAGGTTATGGGGACAGCCTGTTGACCATTTATTTGTACTATGACTTTCGAAAAATTTGCCTTTTCTTATTCTTAATTGACTTTTTCTAATAACTTCTATCTCATTTTGGCGGTTCGAACAATCGTGTAATTGCATCAGTTTTCATATTGATCAGGTCTGCTTGTTTGCCTTATGCAGATCATAAGTGAAGTGTACGATGTGCGATTTCTTCTGTTTGATAAATGACCACTTGAGTGATGCAGTAGAATTAAGTCTTTAAGTGAAGAGTACTCCACTGCTCTACTTTTCCATTCCTTGCATTTCGAACTTTGAAGTTTCATTAGCCATGGTGTCGGTTTTTGGAGGGATAGGTTGCTCGAAATACTCCACACCTTCTCTCTTCCCAAACCTTACACTTTTCTATTGAACTAGGCGTGATTACTGAGTACGTTGGCTGAGAATTGAACCCAGACCTCCTGAGTAGTCGGCGTGCATTCTATCATTGAATCGTCCATGCACCTGCTCCACACAACTAAATGACATATTCGAAAGATATTTTACATCCCAGACATTTTAGTCTTAAAAATTACTAACAATAAATTCTCACTTCTAACTCCTAGAGATGGTTTCATTGGATTAGCTAGCCATCAATCAAATTAAATAACTCCTTGTGAACATAGAAATGCTCTAGAAATACAATAAGGCGAAATTCCATTTTACCAACACACAAATTTGTAAGTTGTATTTCAGACAATTTTAGCATTTTTCTCTGACAGGTGATTGCATTCATCATACGATGTAATATATCAATCACAATAATCGCCAGCCTATTAAAGATATGCATTTCTTTGTATGAAAATAGTAAAAACAGTAAAAAAAAATACAAATGAAACTATTGAAATGTTATCGTCATTGACAAGATAAGCGTCATCTCCATTCTGACTATCCATCTATATCTCCTTTTCTTGTCTCTTCTTTTCGCATTGTTTTACAATACTGAGTCAACTTTGCATAATTTCTCATAATTAGGTGGAATCTCATTGGTAGCGTAACCAAGTTTCTTCAATAATCGACTCTCCTTATGCATGGTTGAAATGTATTCTTTTGGAATAACTGAGCCATTTCTACACCAAGCAGTTAAAGATTCCAAGTGAATAGGCTTGACAACTTGCACTGAGCTAGCTTCATATCTAGAGTAATAAAACAAACAACAAACACTGTCTCATATCCTTGTTTATTGATTACTTGTTATCAGTATTTTTAAGACAAAAATTATTTTCAGGTGACAGTCATTGAATCATATGCTATTCTCTTATATGTCTAACTAGCATAGCCCTAGTATTGTGTCACATGTACAAATGCATAGACTGAAAATTGCTATGCTTTAAAAGACCGATTCATCAATGCTCATTTTGCGTGTTATTCAACGAGTAACTACTCCACAGAATATGGTTTTAGTCAAATTACTTCAGCATAAAACTGTTTTAACAATACACTGACCTGCACTTTATCTCACCTATTTGTAAAAAGAGAATGAGCATTAAGCATTCTACTGACTACATCGTAGGTTACCGAAACAGTGTTTAGCGCCAAACTAAGCAAGTTAATTGACAAAATAACTGTAAATATATTCAGTACCAATACAATTATTTATCGTGATCACTTAGGTGATTTAATTTCGAATTCATGTAGTGCAGTTAATGACAAGTTGACTAACTATGCTGTCGATAATCTTTCTGAAATGAAAGTCCATAAGGCAACAATATAGTTGTATTCATCATTACGGAAATTTGCAAAAGAAACACTATCTCACATAACAAGCCTGAAAGGTTTCTACACCTAATATAGTTGTAAATTAGGTTTCACTTTATTTCTACAAATGCCAGCATAAATTGGTCAGACAGTACAGAAAATAAATAATTCTCATCTACTCTCCTTGTCTTGCTCTAACATCTATTGACATTGTATGGAATATTTAGTGTGCATAGTGTCAGTTTTCTGCGATCGATTTGTTACTTTCTGACAAAATCCCTACACTGTATCAAAGGATGAGTAAGACGACTAAGCTTTGGTCCCAATCTACTGTGTTGTGGCATACAGTTTGCATGACTTGGTGTAATAAGAAGACAAGTGAAGTTAAGGATGTATTAGTTAGTTAAGGTGCATGTTCACTTTCAGTTGTAAATGATAACTATGCTAAAAGAATAACCAAAATGCTAAAATTATTCACAGGAATATAAAATCAGTAGTGAAAGATGATAAAACGATGGGCCTTTCATCGGTGATTCATTTGAGTCATACAATTTAAAGTGTTTTGTCATTAATGTCTAACGCTAGCCAATATGTGACTCTACCGACCTAATGGATAGTGCCTCGTACGTCGGTGAATTAATGGTCGAACGTCCACAAACTACGCAAGTGGGCCAGGTTCGATTCCCGCTCTAGGCATTCACTAACCTTTTCTGATGTACTGGCCTGTAGTAAGTCCAGGAGAGAGAGAAGGATGGGCGATGGGCTAGACACTCCACCCCATAAAAGCAACACCACCACTACTGAAACTTTGAAACCTCAAGCCGTACATTCCACTAGGAAGGCATGGATTGGAAAAATCTAGCCAGGAAGATAGGAGATGAGACAGAAAATTTATCAGTAGGTTAGTGTAAATATGAAACATCAATTTATTCTGGAGTAGGGAAGTAAATTCCTGGAAAGATAGATTGATTTGACTTTAGAGCAAGAATGACAATTTTTAGTCATTATAATGCAGTCGAATATATTCCACTGACTGATTGAAGTAGCCACTAACTATTCACACCAAACTGTAATGCTTACCAGCCATACAAGGGTACTCTAAACAGAGGGTCTCCGTTTCACAATTGTGTTTATCTCTGGAAGAGTTGAAATCAGTTTCAACTGACTTGTTTTTACCTAGCATACTATCTCTACCTTGATTAAACATGGATCAGAATGTGATTTCACTATATCCAATCGATGCTTTGAATATGTATGTGATTCAGGGATTTTGTTTTCTTCAATGAGCATCATTCATCTTCTTTTTACATAAAGAAACACAAAGTAAAAGAAAACCAGGTGATCCTTTCTCGTAGTTTAACCTTCGGCAGATAAATTCAAAGTTTTTGGCCAGATGCATATTTATTTCTTTGCTTCAGTGGAAAGCAATTCTACCTTCATTCTTCAATTAAAGGAATGCTTAGTAGGTATCGAACTATGCGATAACACGCCGTTTTATTCCTACCATTAAATATGGAATACTACGATGGAAAGCATCTACAGTCCAGGATGTCCTTTAATAAGTAGCAATTTTCTTCGTTTTGTGCAAAAGTTCTAATGGTCTTTCAGTCTCCATCATTTGAGTGACTTTAAAACTGAACAACTAGTGGCATGCATTTGATCAAGGCAACACAACAGTACAGTTTGAATGGAACTCTACGAGCTTCAGAGAAATCAGGAACAATTCTCCTCCCGAGACATCAGAGATTAGTCAAACAGGGAATACAAAGCTCAGTAAACTATCCGATTACCGATATCATCACATGCAGTTAAAACACTTATCAAATTGTTACAATGTCTTCAAGAATAGTACGATGAAAAACCACTTTATTTTTATGATTTTAACGAGATTTCTTTGGATAGGAAATGGCAGACCAAAGTAGTTATTGTGTTTGATCTATAAATTACTTCAGGAATCTCATGGATTACTTGCCTAAAGCACTTTTGAAGTTCGGAGTGCTTTGTTAACATAGTAAGTACAATGTCTTCTTTATAATGCGGTTGGATATTTCTTTAAAATTCAATAAATCAATAACTATAACAGAACTACTCAGAATTACTTCATTTTCATTTATAAAACTCGAAAGGCTAAGAACACTGGAGATTGGAAATCAGTTTACACTGTTATTGTCAAGATTTGTTTCACAGTGCTTCGTGTTCCACTCATATAACTTATAAGTTTTGAAAATGTATGAGAATTATCAGTGTTTAAAACTACTCTTATCTCTAACAGTACTGACCAGATGGCAATAATTTTAAATGTAAGCCTACCCATTTAATACATTCAAGGGGAAATCGGGCTGTTAAACTACATTTTGGACACTAGTTAAAATGGGAGAGAAAAGGATGGAAATCACTGAATCTGGATGCAAGTAGTTCAGTATGACGAAATATTTGAAAGCCGAGAAAAGTGAATGAGTGAACATTGATTAAGATGGACAATTTGATCTGAATTAGGATTAAATTGAAAAACAGTCAGGAGTATTTTTTTTTTCCTTCACGTTCCCCAGTGGAACATAGGGCTTCAAGCTAGTGGCTTGAAGTTTCTCTAGCAGTGTTTATTTTACAGGATGGGGTTGCTAGCCTCATGCCAAACCTTTCCTCTTCACCAGCCTTATTTCTGGCTTAGCAAGGTAAAGGAGTGCGTCGGCCGGGGATCGAACCCCGGACCATGTGCATGGTTGGCGAGCATCCTAACCGCTATGCCACCGACGCACTCAGGAGTATTTAAACCGAGACATTGCGTTTAACAATTACTTTGAGTTACATGGGCAACTTTAGATAATTTAAGTGAAGTCTTTGAGATCCTGAGAATAAGGAGTTAAAGAATCTTTGTGAGGAGGTTCAAAATCATCCTTAATGACACAAGTGAATTCACCACTCATAATCTTACAGATACTGAAAAGTTTCAGTGACCTTTATTTGATTATTTCCTTCATTACACTTATTTTGTCTACCACAGTATCGTTCTGTTTCAGTCCTCATATTTTGCATGATTTCTACAAGTGTGGCAAACTGAAAGGATACACTTCTGTGAGAATGTCTAGGTGAATTATTCAGTCAGTTAGTTAGCATGCATTATTATTATTTATTATTATTATTATCAATAAAGGAACCATATATATACAGTTTCTCAAGTAGAGAGTATTCCAATCGTCTCTGAAATTTTCCACTTCTAATCTCACCATAAAATCACTTCCACATAATGAGTTCAAGAAAGCCACCGTGGTTCTTCAACCACTTTCTTTGCGGACTGTACCAGTGAACAAATAAATAAATCAGATATAAGAGTGAATCCGTTCCACAACTCTTTCTTCGATTCACTTTGAATTCCGATGTTAGGAATTATCTTTTATTTGATTGTATAAAAGAGAAATGGGTGGTTAAATGACTCGTCATTTAATGTCGAGTTCCATCACATACTTATAGAGAGACTGAAATATTTTCCCTAGATGACATATTACAGGATGTGGAGCAGGGTAGGAATAAAGTATCTCCTTACACTATCTGTAATATTGGTTAGCCAATTTTTCAATGAGCAGAGCAGAGATCGAAATGTGTCCAGTTAAATTCATCAGTAATCAGCTTAGCATAGCATTAAGTCAACATTTTGCAGGACCAGTGATCAGGTGATAATTCCATAGCAACCTTCAAAATCGAATGACTTATGGCTTAACTAATTGTGTGTTTGTTTCCATATTGTTGTCTGAGAATAAATGACCATCTGCTTACCCCTCTCTTGCAGTCGATCGTAAATACGCGTGTCCCCTTGTCAGAACAAATGATTTGAATTGTTGTTTATTTCCCCTGGCTAAAAGAAGGACGACGGACCTATCATGGTTTCACTGACGTGTTTATAACAGAAACCAAAGACGGTTGATTACGAAGCGTCTACTATTTGAAACCAGTTAGGCAGCAAAGTATTTTCATATGGAGTAGGTTTACCGAGTTGGGATATCGAAGAAAAAGAGAAAACATGATGACTAGTATGAATTGCTATACTTCGGAAATCTGATTCGATTCTAATTCACGCAAATAGTTCAGCTTATTAACAGTTTAACCTCAAGATTTTACGAGGATGTTATGCTAAATAAGTCGATGATTTCACTTCTTTATGTAGTCATCTTTTAGCCACGTTGCATTGTGTAGCCTCATCGACCAATTAGTTTTGCTAGCAGAAGTACATTCACCACAGTCACTATTACTATTATCACCAATCACCGATATGATAAATATATTGAACTTACTTGTTCAACATAGATACATTATGAATGTATTTTTCATGTTGCAGAAGTCGGTCATCCCATGGAAGATCAAGGAATTCTAAAATAGAAGACAACATACACATTGTATTTTCTACGAAACAGAAAACTCATATTAAATCGATCAAATCAGCAAC